GGGGCGGGGCGGGGCTCGGTCCGGGCTGCCGCGGCGGCGACGGCCTTTTCCGACAGCGGTGGCCGGATGGCGTGGGGAGGGGTGGGGGGCAGCGGCGTGGGGAGCGGGGCGCACTGACAGCGCTCCGAGTCGCGCTGACCCCCCTCCTCCTCCTCCCTCTTCTTCCTCCCCCCCTCCCTCCTCCTCCAGACTGCTGAACGAGAGCGAGAAGCGGCCTTTCGTGGAGGAGGCGGAGCGGCTGCGGGTACAGCACAAGAAGGACCACCCGGATTACAAGTACCAACCCCGGCGGAGGAAGTCGGTGAAGAACGGACAGGCGGAGGCGGAGGAGGCCGCGGAGCAGACACACATCTCCCCCAACGCCATCTTCAAGGCGCTGCAGGCCGACTCGCCGCACTCGTCGTCGGGCATGAGCGAGGTGCACTCTCCGGGCGAGCACTCGGGTGAGTCCCACCCCCTCCCCGCCGTGGGGCCGCGGGGCGCGCGGCGGGTGTGGAGAGATGGGGGGGCGCTCTTGGCACCACCCCAAGGCCCTAGGTCTCCGAGGCTCCGCTTGGAGACTTTGCGCTTGAGGTGGAGGAGGAGGGGGGGGGACTGGTGAACTGTACCCTCAGTGTGCAGTCCCGCTCCTCTCCCTGCCCCTCCCCGCATCCACGCACGCACGCGCACACCGCCATCCCCGCATCCTAAGACACTCGTGGGTTTTTTTCTTTCTTCTATTTTATTTTTTTTATAGCGAGGTAAAAATGCCTTTGCAACCTTACTGAAACTCCCACCCCCCCGGGGGTGTCTGCTTCCCCTCCCCCCCCGCCCCCCCCCACACACGCCTCAGTTGTTCCTCTGCAAGTAGCAGTTTGGTTTCTTCCGGACCCTCGGGCCCGCCCCCGGGGGGGAGGGGGCTGTCCGGTGCGTGTGCATGCGTGTGCGTGCGTGTGCATGCGTGTGTGTACCGGCGGGTTAATCATTGGCGGGTTTATCGCGGGCACCACACGGGGCCCCGTCCCCACCTCGGGGGCAGGGCGGGCTCCGATCGCCCAGGCCCTTTGGCACGGCTTCTGTTGATCCCCCACCCTCTCCCTCCCGCTTTCTTTCTCCTTGCTGGTCTACAGGACAATCCCAGGGCCCACCGACCCCACCCACCACTCCCAAAACCGACGTGCAGCCCGGTAAGGCCGACCTGAAGCGCGAGGGGCGCCCGCTAGCCGAGGGGGGCAGGCAGCCCCACATCGACTTCCGCGACGTGGACATCGGGGAGCTGAGCAGCGACGTCATCTCCAACATCGAGACCTTCGACGTCAACGAATTTGATCAGTACCTGCCCCCCAACGGTCACCCGGGGGTGCCGGCCACGCACGGCCAGCCGCAGGTCACCTACACGGGCAGCTACGGGATCAGCAGCACCGCGGCCAGCCCCGCCGGCGCGGGGGGCCACGTGTGGATGTCCAAGCAGCCCG